ATATATTACAAAGCCATACTTGTTTTCTTCTCCTCAAATCTTCAACACCTTCTTTAACCATCGTAGCACCGATAACAATCAAGAGCGGTGCAAGAACGCTTGGCGCGGTATAAGGAGCCAAAGGACTAAACGAAACGAAAGCAACAACGAGGAAATATATATTTGCAACTCTTCTAAACTGCTCAAACAAAGACTTTGGGATGAAATTAGCAGCAGTATACTTAGTGGTTGATACATAATTCCCTTTGTAATTAAGCTGAAGTGCTTCAGGATTATCAGGGTCATTACAGAACACAACTCTTGAGTAACCTCTTGAACCAATCTGAGAATGATCTTCTCTAGAGAATGGTTTAAGACACTTAAAAGAATATAATTTACTAAATTTCATCCCTTTTCTCCTCTCTCCAGACATAAGATCAAGAAAATATCCTCTAGAAATCAAACTTTTTTTCCAATTCCAAAAACAAACATTTTCTTGAAAGATTTCACAACTAATTAACCACAAATCTCAACAACAATCACTCACCAGATCACTAAATGTAGTAGTTGAGGAGAAGTAGCTAGAATCTAATTAAGAGAGGAAAAAAAAAAACTCTAAATCTTGGATAAGGAAATCTAGAAGCTGCACTAAACAGTAACTATCAATTCCAGAAAAAAGAATATTTATATGAGATTTTATATTAAAAATATCATTTGTCTGAAAGATCTCTCTTACTTGGTCCCAATTTTGTTCCCAAGATCTAATTTATTGCAGAGATAAGAGAAAAGAAAACTCTAAAATAAAGCAAAGATCCTAAAGAGAAAAAGAGTATGTTCTTGCTCTGAGCAGTACTCAACTTTGCCTCTTTTGTAAGTAAACGACGAGAAGCAATGCAGAAATTTCTTTATTTTTATTTTAAGTTCACTTTTCGAAATTTCTTTTAACATTTTCCTCTGTATATTTATTTTTTAATCTCATCTTTTTAGTTTCTTTTCACATTTTCATCTGTTTTTTTATCTTATTTTTAAGTGTATTTTGCTTGTGAATTTTTTTCTCTGTTGTGTTTTGTCTTAACCGTACGATTTTAGTGAAGAGTTTCTGACATTTGTCGGTTTTCGACGAGTCCAACGTGAACATTATGACACGTGGCTATATCTTATAGTATTTGTGATTTAATTATTGAAAAATGTAACGTTTGGTTTGGATTTAGATTAGGCATCGCGCACCGATTTCTAGCTATTTCCACTTTTAAGGAAATTTGCTGATTAATTATTTAATTATAAAAACCAGTAGTTGTCACAAATTAGGTTTGGTTCATCCTTTTACGATGAGAAAACAATTAAATAAGCAAAAGAAAAAAATCCAGTATACACAGTAAGTTTTTTTTTCTTTTTCTAAATTGTAAATATTTCATAAAACTAAAAAACAGTTTATGTTACAAACATGAATTTAAACTTATACATATGAATTCATGGCAAAAAGAATAAAAACATGAAAGCATAAAAACGGTTAATTAAAACCAAGTTTTTGGTTCATCTTCTCGACCAATGTAATGAAGCTGCGGGAAAAGATGAAGCGATGACGTATAAGAGTATAAGTATTGAGTAAGAGTATACAGTAAGTTGCAGTTAGAGTATATAAGTATTGAGTAAATATGTTACTATTTATGGAATTTGTATTTATTATAATTGTAACACGGATTCATACCTACCATACTTTACTTCGTCTACTCATCTTTACATATTTGTAACTTTATAATAACTTTAATTACAACTTTACATATTTGAATAAACACAAAAAAGATCAAAATATTGTTTTGAACTACAACTATCAAAAAAAAAAAAAAAAAAAAAAAAAAAAAAAAAAAACAATTTATTTCACCTTTTACCAAAAAAAAAAAAAAAACTATCAAAAAAATTATAAGATATTAGAATATTGGTGGGGTTAGTGTTCTGTGATATCTTACTAGTGATTACTGATTAGTTATTGGAAAATGTAACGTTGGTTTTGGATGTAGATTAAGCACCGGACCACCGTTTTCTAGCTATTTTCCATAATACAAATAAGTAGTTGTCACAAATTCGGTTTGTTCTAGCTTTTACGATTTTATAATAATTTAAAAGAAAAAATGGAAAAGTTAAGAGTTGTTCTAAAAATCGGCCGCCTAGCCGCCTAGGCGGCCGCCTAGGCGCTGATCGGAGGAGCACCGCGGCGATTTTGTCCAAATCGGTGGGAAAAATCGGAGATCCGATTTTTGTCCGCCTGGACCGCCTAGGCTGCCGCCTAGCCCGCCTAGACGGCGCCTAGCCCATTTTTTTTTTTTTTTTTTTTTGTTTTTACATTTTTTTTTTCATCTAAAATTCAAAACGTCCTACTTATGTTCGTAATTTGTATAAAAATCATAAATTTGAAATTAAAATCTTGTTTTCATGTGTTTAATACAATTTTAAAAACAATATTATATAAATTACTTAATTATAATGGATTAATATGTTTTTAAAATATTAAATAGCCCTAAAACTAATCCCCGATTAATCCCCGTGTAATCTCCGATTTTCTTGCTAGGCGCTAGGCGCACCCTCACCGCCCAACTAGCGCCTAGCGATTTTTTGAACACGGGTATATATATATAAGAGATAAAATGCAATAGCCCACGTAAGTTTCAGTTTGAGTAATAAAGTAAAAATGTTTCTATTCGGGAATTTATGTTTTTCTTAAATTTGTAACACGGATTCACTCATTCACACCTAGGGAAAACGGCCATTTTAAACCTCAACTATTTGCTGGCGGGTTTTTTCAACCCAAACTATGACACCTACTAGCCTGTCTGCTCATCTTTGCATGATAAATTAATTTTAAAGTTTGAAAATAATCAATAAAGCTTTGAATTTCTAAAAAATATACTATAAGCTATTTTAATTTTGGATGTAGAATTAGTTTCTCTAAATAAAATATTACTCCCTCCATTTCAGTTTAGTTGTCGTTTTAGGATTTAAATTTTGTTTCATAATAGTTGTCGTTTTAGGTTTTCAATGCAAATGTTTAGTGAAAATTCTAGTTTTATTCCTACTGTTTTAATGTTTTGGCCAATAAACTTTTTTATAAAATATATTAATAAAGGGTAAAACAGAAAATTTAATGTTTTTCTTAAACTTTAAACGACAACTAAAACGAAACAGAGGGAGTATATCTTATACACAATTCTATAAGCAATTCTAATTTGGTGGGCTTTAGATTCTGTCAAAATGGACTGCTCTTCTACCTTGGATATATAGATATATGGTAAAATAATACATTCCATCCATTGACGGGAATGACACCCTGAAAGGATCCAAATAGTGAAGGATGACGATACACAAAGGACTCCTGAGGCTGAGACAAACTTATGTAAATGCTCAAACAGAATTTAGCTAGTGAGAAACAACTTGTTCTTTCATGCTCTTGCAAGGGAGAAAAACCTCAACAAACAATTACAAATATGTACACATATCCTCGTTCTGAAGGGCACAATTACATGATGGTGGCTATAGAGCTATGCAAGCTGGCCAATATTTTGCAAACCGAAAATACAGAATCATCTGCTTATGGTGCCAGAGAGATGGGTTAAAAATGGCTATGTTCCAATCATCAACAACTATTGCAAACTTAAAGTATCTCTATGGATGGCCACTTCCAAACAGTTGAGGAGCTTATATCACAATTCTAGACACTACAGGTTTGGAAAAGTAATATGTGTTTAACATAGCTTGGTAAGCAAAGCTTTCATTCATCCAATATTCATAAATCATAATACTCAACAAAAACTTCACAGTGAAGATCAACAAACAAAAGTAAAGAAAAGGGTATCATCTACCTTAAACCATAACACACCATTGAGAAAAAAAAAGGGTCAAAATCCACACAGTTTGGCGAAAGCTTATGCAACTACCGAATTCAAGCAAGCCAACAGAATCCAAAGTACAAGGACTGAAACTAGAAAACAATTGAAAGTAAAATAATGATTAGAAGAAGAGGGTGATGCTCATATTCTATGGGTGTAATGTGAGTCTATCATGCCTTTGGAGCATTCAGTACGAGGAATTACTTTTACAATCATCGCATCCAAACCCAATTCATATTCTACAAACCACAAAACACAAAAGACCAAATGGTAATAATAAGGCTCAGAGTATTGCATAATGTGCTCAAAGGAGAGGTTATCAATCTCTCCTCATACAAGAGGTGTCAGAAATTTAGCATTATTCATCCTCGCCATTTACCACCATTACTTTCACATAAAACAATAACACATAAATCATAAACAAAACACTAATCACTACCATAGTAGCAAATGGGCATTGCTCAATGAGAGCAACAACAATTCAAAAAGCAATCTTTTACAACTACTCCAATTCTACAACACAACAAAAGTATTAAAACCCACAAATTTCCAATGCTAAAAAACACAAAATCAAAAGTGAAAAAAATTGGATTTTTGAAGCGTGAGTGCTCATATTCTATGGGTGTAATGTGAGTCTATCAAGCCAATGGCTTTCAGTACGAGGAATTACTTTTACAATCATCACACTCATAACAAAAACAATTCAGATCAAAAAAAAAAAAACAACATTGGTAGGCTCAGAGTATTGCATAATGTGCTCAAAGAAGAGGTTATCAATCTCTTCTCATACAAGAGGTGTCAGAAATTAAGCATTGATCATCATCGCCAATAAAAAAACCAACACACAAAACAGAGATCCTAAAAACTAACTATAACGAAGAAGAGAAGATACAAGCGGCGGAGAAGGAGACATAAGAATTAGGGTTTTTGTTTATGAAATAGACGAAGAATCATGTACGGTATTTATAGATGTTTAATGGGCTTATTGAAGGCCCATTAAGGTGTTTCTTAGGTTAAATTTTCGCCGACACAATAAAAATAGAAAAATCCAGCTAATTCATAAATATTCAGATCAAAGGCCCATTGGGCCTTGAAATAACCACATTACAAAAGGTATATTTTTATTTTTTCATTTGTTCTGCATAAAACAGTCACTTATTCAGGCTTTGACACATTTTGTCTCCTAAGTCTTCCATGAACTAATATTTAAAACAATCCTAACTACACGAAGAACGAATAATCATCTTCCTTACCTTGTCAAGCAAGTTTCTTGATTCATCTTCAAGCTTCATCTTCAATTCTTCCGTAATCTTTCCCTCTGATTGATCTATCAATGCTCTTATCCCCTCAAGCTTCTCTTTCAAACACTCGATTTCTGTTAAGCCCTTTCTTGTTTCAGCTTCCTCCTTCTCAGGTGAAGCAGAAGATGGATACTTGAGCTTGAATGTTACTGTGGAAGTAGTAGCAAATGGGCATTTCTCTAACGACTTGTTAAAAGCTTCTTCTCCATCAGATGCATTGAAGAAGGCAACGCGTGCGCAAGAGTTGTTGTCTAAGATATAGCTTCTCTCTTTGTCCACAGCTCCAAACTTTTCGTATATTTTGATCAAATCATCTTTTGAAGGCAGAGTAGAACCAAAACCAGTCTTGATAAATAGCTCAACACCTGAAAATTGCTTCTCATCCGTCTCATTCGGTTCATTTCTGGTTTGCTCCTTCTCATCCACTACCTCAGGCTGCTTCTCTACATCTGAAATGTTTCTCTTGTGAATCTTGTTATTGAAGCTACGATAAGTGGACACAAACTCTCTTACCATATCACATGAGGTATTATAGTCTTTTGGATATTGTGCATTGAGAGCCGTTGCACGGATTAGATCCAGCATTTCCTCTGATGTAGCTCCCGGTTTCACAAAATCGATAGCTTTTTCAGTCGTTATTCGCTCTGCTACTCGGATATGACTTGATTCAGCAGATTCTATTTTGCTCTTTCTTGCTCTGCAACTAAAATCCGTCATGTATTCAGGCGAAAGATACTTACTTTTCTTCCTCTCTCTTTTACCTGTCTGCAATATCGTCTCGTCATTTCCATTGCTCCTTTTAACACTTGAAGAAACATCAACATTGAGCCTTTTGCAGATTGAAGCCAATGGGGTTGATAAATCTACAACTACTTCTCTACCCGAATCATCTTTGTTCTCACTCTCGTCTAAATGGTTTGAGTCGTTTGACTCTTCTCTTTTCTCAACCCCATCATCATCATTCTCATCCAAACCCCTTTCGCTCTTCCTCTTCCTCGACGACAAACTCTTCCCGTTACTAATTTCTTCCTCAGCGTTTACAATCTTCGAAACTTCACTCAATCTTCTCCTCATAGTAGTAGAACCATTGGTTGCTACATCACCAAATTCCCTCTTTTTCTTAGCAAAACCTGAACACTTTCTCAATGATCTCTGACAAGATTCATCCTCTTTGTCTTCAAGTCCAATAATATATCGATGTTCATCAAACTTAGCTAAATCAAACCTTCCTTTACACCGATAAAACGCAGATATCTTCCTCTTCAAAACCTCAATCTCTAACAAATCACTAAAACAAACCGTCTTCGCAAGCCGTTTCACATCATCAAGAACAACTCCAGGATTTTCAAGAACCAAAGACGACATAATCTCTTTTCTAACCTCAGGCACAACAACACCTTCTTTAATCCCCGAATTCAAAGCTACAGAACTAACCAAAGCCGCGTCATCACAAACCAAAAATTGCTCAACATGTTCACCAATCTCTCTCACAGCTTCTTCCACTGCACTAAGAAATCTTCTAGAATCACTCATCTTCGAAAACTCTTTAAAATTCTCAAGAAATGGTTTCAATTCCAATGGATTACACCAACGAAAGTTCCCATCTCCAAAATACACCACAAGTAATTTACCCTTTTGCATTGTCTTCAAAGCCAAGTCTGAAGCATCTAAAGAATCATAAATCTGACCTGGCCACCATTGTTGACTATTAACTTCTTCTCCCCAAACAAAATCACCCACATGAAACACATTTTCTAATTCCTCTTGTTCTTCAAAATTATCTCTCAATGAAGAAACCTCACTCATCACATTATCTTCAATTTGTTCAGAGTCGTCTTCGTTAACATTCTCCATCTTAACATCGTTCTCCTTCAATTTGTTGTCATCAGAACCATCGTTCTCAGAAACCCTAGAACCAGTCGGTAGAATATTCCCCATAGAACCAGAAAGATTCTTCTTGATTCTCTATAACATATTCAGACAACGACAATGATTAGAAACGAAACATAAACCTACGACAAACAGAAGAAACTTGGTACTCGCGACGACCAATTGAAAAAAAAAAGGGTTTTTATTTTCACGTAAAGTTTACATCTTTCGAAGAATAAGAAAATCGAAATCACCTGAAGAAGAAGAAGGAAGAAGCAGCGAATCTAGAAAACACCTTCTTCCTCGTTTCCTGCGGCGTAAAGTTTTCGTTTTTTTCCTCGAGAGAATATAAAAACGAGAAGAAAAAGGTTTAGACTTGTGTGATTAATGCTTTAGATTTGCTTATGTCATACGTTTATTAACAAAATGTTTTATAGATAAAGCAAGCTTATTAAAAAAAAATCAGATTTTTATGCAAAAAAACACAATCTTTAACCATAATCCTTTACTCTGTTTTCTGTCTTAATCTTTTTAAGCTAGGCATTTCAACAAACACGTTATGTGCATCTAAACGAAGAACTTGATGAAGACTAAAACTGTAAATACGAAACCAAATTGATTCAAAGTACAACAATTTCTCAAAGCTGAATCAACAATACCAAACACAAACTATACTAAACAACACAAAAAGATTCATAAATTCCGAAAAAGATCACATTTTTATCGATTGTTGAAGAAACTTAAGCAATGGAAACTTTAGCACCAGCTTCTTCAAGGGTCTTCTTAGCTTCTTCAGCTTCATCTTTAGTCACACCTTCTTTAAACTTCTTGGGCAATCCTTCAATTAGCTCCTTAGCTTCCTTCAACGCCAAGCTAGTCAAAGCCCTAACAGCTTTAATCACTGCAATACGAGAACTACTCGGAACTTCATTGATAACCACATCGAACTCGGTTTGCTCCTCCACTACAGCCGCCGCGCCACCGTCGGCTGGAGCTGCAACAGCCGCCGCAGCAGGAGCTAAAGAGAGTGGGGAGACACCGAATTTGTCTTGGAGATAGTCGACGAGGATACGAGCTTCTTCGAGGGTTAAGGAAGAGATTTCGGATCCGATTTTCTCGATTTTTTCCGGAGCTTCGACGGCGGCGATTGGACGGAGGTTGATTGCACGGTGGCTAGAAGAACCGAGACGAAATGGGAATTCGATTGCGGTGGGTTTGGAAAGGAAGTGATGGGTGGAAGCGGAAGTGAGAGGAGAAGAGGAACGGATTGTTGTTGCGATTGAGAGAGTCGTCGACGCCATTGTTGTTTCACTCTCTTCTTCTTCTTCTTCTTCCTTTGAATCTTTGGGATTTGTTTTGTGTGTCTCTGTGAGTGTGTTTGTAGAAGATGAGGATAAAAAAAAAAACAAAAGATAAGGGGTATTTTGGTCATTTCAAGTAATCCGTACGCTTTGCTATCATGCGCGTGTATACGATTTGAGAAGTTAAAAAATAAAAAAGGGGCGTTCCGAGAATCGAACTCGGGACCTCTCGCACCCAAAGCGAGAATCATACCACTAGACCAAACGCCCTTTTGGTATCGTACGAAAAGTTTGTGATAGTATTATTAATCAAATGACATAATCTAACAATATATAAAACTAAACAATAACATGTTAGAAAGGGCTTCAAAGACAAATATTATCAACATTTAACTTTGAACAATCTGAATTAAGAACTGGCTTAAAAGTTTGTGATAAAACATTCTTCAATTCTAAAGAACCATATACAGTAAAACCTCTATAAATTAATACTCTATAAATTAATAACCTCTCTAAATTAATAAATTCTTCCGGTCCCGAGTTGGGACCAGTGTAAAATATGACATAAATCGATAAATTAATAAGATAATAATTTTTTTGAAAATCCCATATAAACATATGGTCCCATCTATATCATAAATTAATAATTGTATAAACTTATCAATATATATATATATATATGTATATCTAACTTAATATATATATGCATATTTAACTTTATATATATATATGATATAAATTTATATATGTCATATATGAATTACTATGATATATATTTAAAATATTAAATGAAATATGACTTTATTATTCCAAAAAAGTTTGTGTTGTTTTTAAACTTAATAATTGCTTCTCTACTTGTAATTGGTTTTAAAAAGATATTGCTTATAAAGAAAAAATTTATTTTTAGATATAAATTTTTTTAAAAATTACCAAATTAGTAAAATCTCTCTATAAATTAATAATTATTAATTTATCGATAAATTAATACCTCTCTAAATTAATAAAATTTCATGGTCCCAACATTATTAATTTATAGAGGTTTTACTGTAATATAATTGTATACCAATGTAAATATGTAATCTTCACGTTGGTAGGCTCTTTACACCAAGGTTGATGCACTTGACTTTTACTATTTTTAGAACACATGTGATCTTCGTTGTTGGTGTTTTCACATCGACTTCGACGGTCTTGTGAAACATTGACATGGGCTTTAGCATTTAGTAAAGAGATGTACACTTGTTATGTGGATGTTGCGTGGTCAGCTGTTACATGTCTTGGCTCTCAAGGATTCAAGGTTTAGTTTGTTTCTAATACCTTCTTCAACTAATAATCTGATACAAAAAGTGAACATCTCTTTTGCTTCATTCGCAAACACGTACCCTTGCACCGGCAAGAGCCACTTTCTTTAAAGAGGGATAAATAACCTCAAACCTACTTGTAGCAGCGACTGTTGCGGATGAATCATGGAATGTAAGCCGCATCAAGATCTCGAATCAGATGGAATCAGTGAGTTGCCCTCCCAAACAGGATCATCTATAAGCTTGGCCTGAGCATCTGGCTGCGCCAAAATTCTGATAAGAAAAATTGCATGAAAAAAATGAAAGATGATTTTGTTTATAATTATACCAAAGGAGATCACAAGAAAAAATCTTGGACTCACTTCTCAACCAAGTTCAGGATGAGATGCCTTAGAAGCGGGTTGCTACCGACTACTGGTAACAAGTTATGCCCCCATGCTTGCAAGCCTACGTATAAATGATTATCTTCGGAATTACCTAAAGAGGTCTGTCCTCATTTTTACAGTTGAACAAATTAGAATACAGATCACACAAATTTCCAACACCTTTTTGGCTAAGGGATCACAATCACACAAACCTGAGCTATCATCCAAACTGTGAGCGGAATCTCGATATGTTCTTCATACATATGCTGCTTACTCAGATTCCTCAGAGACCGCAATACCGTAGTCAGATTCAGGAATATGACATAAAAGGAACCTATTTAGAGAGAAGAATATAAATCAGAACAAACATCAAAAATAATCATCATTAGACTTTTTTATTAGAAAATCTCACATCAATATTATCCAACAGCTTGGACAAATTAGACTCATTGAACATCACATGCCATGGACATGATACTTGGGAAATATCAAGGCCATAGTAATCGAGAAATCTTATTAGCCTATACTCAGGAAAATTCGGATAAGTGTCCGGTGGATTGGCGGTGTAAGCCCGCTAGACCTAATGACACTTCTTCTTCCGATGAACAGCTAAAAATAAATCGTAATAAGCATCGGAGGATTCTTTTTTCCTTCGATCAACGAATTCTTTATAATAACACAAACCCGAGAAATGAAATAAGCACTTATGTGTGTCTCATGAAACAAATAAAAGACCTATGAAAAAAAAAAAAACACTTCATATTTTAAGAACTCCGATTGTTTTGTTAAAACTTAAACAATGGAAACCTTGGCGCCAGCTTCTTCGAGCTGTTTCTTGGCTTCTTCTGCTTCATCTTTCGTCACGCCTTCTTTAAACTTCTTCGGAAACCCTTCTGTTAGCTCTTTCGATTCATTCAACGACAAGCTAGTCATAGCCCTAATCGCTTTGATCACGGCAATACGATTACCAATTGGAACGTCATTGATAACCACATCGAATTTGGTCTGCCTCTCCACAGCAGCCGCTGCAGCAGGTGCTGAAAAGAGTATTGAAACACCGAATTTGTCCTGGACATAGTCGACGAGGATGCTGGCTTCTTCAAGGGTCAGAGACGAGATTTCAGATCCAATCTTCTTTATTTTCTTCGGAGCTTTGACTGCGGATATAGGATGGAGGTAGATTGCACGGTGGCTGAGCGTGGAAGAAGAAGAAACACCAAAGCTAAACGGAAATTTTATTGCGGCGGGTCGAGAAGGGAAGTGATGTGTGGAAGCAAGACCGGAAGAACATGATGAAGAACGGATTGTGGTTCCGATGGAAAGAGTCGTAGCTGCCATTTTACTCTTTGTTGTTCTTCTTCTTTGGAATTTTTTTTGTGTCTCTGTGTTGCTTGGGCTGCACGAGAGAAGAAGATGAGGAAAAAAAACTAGAGAATCCCTAACTTTTTTTTTATAGAAAGATGCAAAGCCCTAACTTTATGCCTTTATGATAGGTTTTAAATAAGTTCTACTTTCTAAAGTCGTTTGATTTGTTTCCATTTCTATATTAGGGTTTGTCTTAGAGAAGGCAATGAAGTTAGATGTGAGAATATATTTTCTTTGGACAGCGGTTTGACAATGGTTTAGAGCCCTCATGGGGAATCCTTGTGTCTCAAAGAATTTTGCTTGTCTCTTTGTTTCTCTGTTTCACTCTTCTCTTAAAAAAATCAGTTCTATATCTAAGATACATGACTTTTAACTCCATTTGTAGTAAACGGCCCGGATGTAAAATCGTTTAACATAGGTTAAAGCAACAATGAGAAAACGATTGGTTCTATTGGTAACATCGTTTCAAAAAGGCCGTTAAAAGGGGCTTTTAATTTAGAGGTGGTGGAGAAGGCTCTTAAAGTAAAGGCGGTTATGGTTGGTAACAAGTGTTTAATGAAAAGAGGAAAAGTAAGGCTCTAAAAGAAAACTGAGAGTGAGATTTTTTTTTTTTTTTTCCAAATTGTGTTTTCTTCTTCGTGAGGAGAACTTAAGGATACTAATGTTGGTTTCAGCATCTAGATATGTGATGAGGAAATTAACCATATTTTTTTTTTTCAACAACTTTTAATTAGAGCTCAAATGACTCATTCCTCAGAAATGTTGTTTACATATGTGATATGATGCGGTTCGGTACGAACTTTTCGTGCCAAATAATCCGCTTTAATATTTGCACAACGAGAGATTAAAAGATAAAGAGAAGCTTGTGAATTCTTCCTTGTCGCTCTGAAATTCTTCCAAATATCCTGAAATTAACGCTATCTTCCTTTATTAATGGTTGACTTCGGATATTTGCAATCTAAATTCGATTTATGATTTGAAGACAAAAATTTTCATAGACTTTGACTTTGTTTATGAAGAGACAATTTTCATAATTATCTCAGTTTATTTTTAAATCATATATCTTATTATATAAAGTATGGTTTTCAAATTTAGTAACTCATATCTACATGTATAAATAGATATGTCAGGATCTTGTTTTCACAATTAACCATTCTCGCAATTTCCGATGGTCAATCAAACCGCTGAAGGCAATTGATTCGTCATAGTGGAAAAGATGGCGAATTCAAGGTGTCAAAATCTTCGATCTAGTGTTGGGGCGTTACGCAGATTTTTGACACAAGCAGATATATGTGCTTTGGAAAAGATGTACATGGAGGCATTTTGGTGATGAAGATATAGTTACAACAAACAATTATCTATGGATGAATAAGGCGGATCTGATTTCGATATCATGGAAGAGACAAGTTTCAGAAACAAATCCAACAACATTCAATTTCAGTTTATTAATCAAAGTTATGCCAAGGGCATTATAATATTTTTGCTTCAGTCTTAAAGATTAAATACCAAAAAAAAGTTATCATAAAGAAAATAAACTAATAGAAAAATGAATCTAAATCCTATAATCATCACTAATTAAATCCACCATATTCTATATCATGATCATTAAGACTTTCATATATGTAAAATTAAGCCATAACTTAATGTAGTAATATATTCTAGATTAAAGTAGAAAAGAATCCAACTTTATTTACAAAAGAGAAAACCCATCATATTTCTCTATATATATTAATAAGGGTTTTGAGTACTATTCAGTTCCATTAGCAAATATTGGAAAAATAAACAATACAAAACAAAAAAATGGTTTCATCAGGCAAATACGTCTTCCTCGTGTTCTTATGCATGGTTGTTCTTCTTGCCCCAAGTATGCCAAAAAAAAACGTTTATATGTTTTCTGTTCAATTATATGTCAATTTATTCATATATATTGAAGTATAACCAAAATAGCAAGATTCATGAGTTAATACTTAACACTAACTAGCAAACCAAATATTTATTTTATATCAGATATTGTATCATATCTCCATACATATAGTTAAACATATTGTATACAGTTTTATCTTCACAATTGTACATTGCGATACTAACATTTTATCAAAAAAAAAAGACATTGTGATATTGCGTTGTAAGCGGCTGAAAGAGATTCTTGTCGACTAATTTTTTTTTCTTTTGCCTTTATGTCTAATGAATTTTTTTTTTTTAAATAAACAATAATTTTTGGAAAATAATAGGTGAATTGCACGCAAAATCTATGGTCGAAAATAAGGATGCTCACAAATGGTACATTGTCGAAGGTCTATGCTCAAAATATCCGGACTGCAATAAGCACTGCAAAGAAATAAGATTTCCATTAGGTGGAAAATGCCTCAAATTTGGTGTTAATATGATGTGTACTTGTATTTCTACATAATCTCGTTTATAATATATTTAAAATATTTCATGAGTATTACAATAATAAATTTTGCAAAATAAATTTTCAATAATAATATTATTTTATCAATATCAATTCTTATATAAAACATTATGCTAATGCATTATGATTATTGTTCATATACAAATGTATAACTTAAATGAACATATTTTCATAACATAATTTGAATAGATTGATGAAGTTTATAATTGCTCTCCTAGACTTTAAATCAAATAGTATAAACCAAAAAAAAAAGAAAAAAAATAACGGGTATTTAGTAAGAATCTACACCTATGGAGTATGTGGTATTCCACATTACAAGACGCAAAGAAATACTTTCAATATACAATCTACAGATTATCTTAGTCTTAGTGATCTCAAACGGTTGGAATGCATAAGCATTTTCGAAGAAAAAAACACGGTTTGGAAGGTCAAAAAATACTAAGTACATAGTTATATGTATATGGTAGAAGGTCGCATATACAGAGTAGCTTGCTTATTTAACTTACCAAAGGTCTTGGAAGCCGGAAATTCGAGTTAAATATCTCCAAGATTGGCGTTTGCAATTCGTATGTTTCATCTTGAATCCGTATGTTAATTCGTACATTCTACTGATCATATCTTCGATCTCTACCCTAATATCTCACACAAATTAGCTCTATATAAGTCCGCTACACCGGTGAGTCCCGATTTGGACACATAACCGCTCCCAACCCGCAGTGCCATTTGAGCTTATTATTGTAACTCTGTTTGTGCTAATGCATCAATCACAACTCTAGCTATCGTTTCATGTTAAGCACCTATATGTCTACTAACTTCGTCTATGAGTGTGATTGTCTCATTTAGGCATTTCAACAAACATGTTATGTGCATCTACCAAAAGCTCAAGTCAATGGCAAAATCAGCTTATGGGAAACCAAATGTGATTCAAATTACAACAATTTCTCAACAATTCCAGACGCAAACTATACTAAACAACACAAAAGATCCCGAAATTTCCAGAAAAAGAGAAGAACTTTTTTATAAAACCTTAAGCAATGGAGACTTTAGCACCAGCTTCTTCAAGAGTCTTCTTAGCTTCTTCAGCTTCATCTTTAGTCACACCTTCTTTAAACTTCTTGGGCAATCCTTCAATTAGCTCCTTAGCTTCCTTCAACGCCAAGCTAGTCAAAGCCCTAACAGCTTTAATCACAGCAATACGTGAACTACTTGGAACTTCATTGATAACCACATCGAACTCTGTTTGCTCCTCCACTACAGCCGCCGCACCACCGTCGGCTGGAGCAGCAACAGCTGCTGCAGCAGGAGCTAAAGAGAGTGGGGAGACACCGAATTTGTCTTGGAGATAGTCGACGAGGATACGAGCTTCTTCGAGGGTTAAGGATGAGATTTCGGATCCGATTTTCTCGATTTTCTCCGGAGCTTCGACGGCGGCGATAGGACGGAGATGGGTTGCACGGTGGGTCAATGTGGAAGATGAACCACCACCGAAGCGAGAGGGGAATTCGATTGTGGTGGTTCGAGAAGGGAAGTGGTTGGTGGAAGCGAGAGTGGGATAAGATGAAGAACGGATTGTGGTTGCGATTGAGAGAGTCGTCGACGCCATTGTTTCACTCTTTGGCTTTTTTTTTTCTGAGTTTTTCGCTCTCTCTGTGTGTTTGATTGGAATTGGAGGAGGAAGATGAAAGATTAGAGGATAGAAAAATGATGGATAAGGGGTATTTTGGGGAAGAAAATAATGCGTACGTTTGCTATCATGCGCGTATTCACATAGATGTTCGTCTTTTGACGAAAATACCCTTGACTTTGAGAAATTGAAAAAATAAAAAGGGGCGTTCCGAGAATCGAACTCGGGACCTCTCGCACCCAAAGCGAGAATCATACCACTAGACCAAACGCCCATATTGTTATGAGTGCACTTATTTTTATTATAAATACGTGTTAATTTATGTCCATAACATGTTAATTTCTTTCAACACCATGTCATTTATTTGTGTGAAAGTCTATTTTATTCAATAGATTCCTATTTTCGTCATAAACAATGTCTCTATTATTTTTTGATATATTATACTTCCACATATTAAAATGTTATAAACAAAATCACATTCTCGTAACAATTAAGTAAGTGATAAAATCGTCCAAAATTTCTTTGTTATCTCCTCATTGCAATTTTTCTAATTTATGTTTTTAGGTATTGCTTTCCAATTAACTAACTCTACCATTAATCACAAGATTATCAACACTATATATACCTAAACAATAACAAGTAACAAAGGACTTTAAAGACTTTGAATCAAAGTCTGTAGTGGAAACATTTATGCATTTTAAAAGAAGCATATAATAATCGTATACCAATGTAATCACATTGAGTAGTTTGACCTCTCCCTTCTATATTTTCCCACCAATGCTACAAATAACAGCAAGTTTCCATTTCCAATGAATTTCAACCCCTGTTTTAAAAGCACTTGAAGAGGGTTTTCACCATCTACGGCGTCTCCTCCCGTACCAAAACGCGAACGCAGCCACAGATGCAGCCACAACGACTCCAGTAGCCGCGTGCCATACATACAAAGGCTTCTTTATCATGACCACACTTGCAGATTGCCTCACCATCTCAGCGCTCGGAATATCCTTAACTTCAGGAACTTTCTGCTGACTCACAACGGTGTGAGCAAACCCTAGCCCTTCTCTTTCCAATTCTTCCAAATCAATAGTCACAGCTGGTTTCAATTGTGTCGCCTTTGAGATAGTTTCATATTCTTCTTTGGTTCCTCCTTCAAGAAAAGATCCAACAAGGTGACCCTTTTTAATCCAATACGCTCCAAATGATTTCCCGTCTTCATACTCTCCAAAGTGCACAACATCACCTGTAGGGTCTCCATAGAACTGCCATGAGAAGGCGAAAACCCTTGAGTAGAAGAACGGTAAGTAGTCAAATTCTCCGGTCTTGATTGGGTCCATGATGGCTGAAACTGCGTGTCGCGCAGATTTCCTAGCTGAGTCCACGTGCTCAAGCCTTCTCATTTCGCCAAATAGTTTCACTGGAAATGTAGCTACATCGCCTATTGCATACACCGAGCTGTCACTTGACTGCATTCTGCTGTTCACTTTTATCCCTCCTTTCTCTATTGTTAACTGTCCTTCAAACAAGCTTGTGTTTGGTCGTATCCCGATTCCAACCACAACCAAGTCTGCTGGTAAGTGACTCCCGTCTTTGAGATTAACCGCAGTGACCTGTAAATCGAAAACCAAAAAAGCTCATATCAATAAAAAAATACACTGAACAAGGCTCAAGATTTCATAGTTTCATTACTGGACCAGAAGTATCTGTGGTTCTACTGCTTCTTGCCATCCTTAGTTCTATACATAGATGCAACGTACCAGACATTTTTCGAGTTGAATCTCAAGCTAAAAGAAAAGATCTTACCTTTTTGTTCGAGTCAAACTCAAATGATGTCAAAACTGTTCCTTTTACAAATTTTACGCCTTTAGCCCTGTAGTAATCTTCATACAAACTTGCAATCTTGGGCGTAAAGAGACGTGCCACTGTCATAAGAAACTAAAAAGGTCAAGCTAAATACACAAGCTTTCTCTCATACACGTAAGTTTAGTAATAATCGAGAATACTTACTGCAGTGAGCCTCTGGGAAAACCATTGTCACATTGATTTTGTTGATCACTAAAGATGCAGCACACTCCATGCCGATGTAGCCACCACCAATAACAACAGCATTCCCATTGGAGCTTGATTGAATCACAGTGGCAAGCCTATTTGCATCGGCCAGATCTCGTAAGTAACAAACATTTTCAGCATCTGAGCCTTCCACCCCAAATTCTTCGAGCTTCAACGGCTATTTGCACGAGCCAAATGTGAGAAGAATAAGACCACAACTTTAGCAGTTTAATGTTCTAACTTTTAAAATAGCACAAGTTCATTTAACAATTTTCAGGAGTGAGCAGATTTGCCTACATCAATGTTCACAACATCTACTAGACATTCCACTATTACACAGGCATTTAAGATGTTAATAGTGATAAGTAATAACAGATTACAAAATCCTAAAGACGATAATATGCTGTTAAAAACTAGTAATTTATCGTTTATGTTAACGGCATTTTCTCACCGGCACACACTCTTACTTCGGATAAACGAAAACATAAATATTATTATGCAATCCATACCCGAGCACCTGTTGCAATGATCAAGAATTTGTAACTTATAGTCTCCCCTGTGCTGGATAAAAGAGTCTTCCTCCTCACATCAACAGACTTAACACGAGTTCCAAGGACCAATTCAATTCCTGACAAAAATATTTCACAAAATTATCAGAAACGAACCCCGTAGTCATCCCCAAGTAAAATAGTACTTTCTTTTATCAAAAGTGCAAATGTAATTACCATGATCTTTGTACCATTTCGGGGTAAGCTTCTCATCATTAGCTCCAACACAAGTGTGGAAAGAAGGAAGCCGTGCAGGAGCTGCATATAAGAACGTCAGTAACCTTTACAGAGCCTAATGAGTGAACTTTATAGCCAAATTCCTTATTTCTTGAAAACTGTCTATACCAAATGCAGGATACCGCAAGCTACCGGGTTTTTCTTACCTTCTGGCAGCAGAAAACCTTTGCTTAAGGCAGGCCTCTCATACGGTGCAACCTAGACAAAAAAAAAAAGCAGAATTGAATAAATCTTGAGCAAAACCCTAATCTTTAACGAAACTCACACTTAAATACGTATAGTAACACCTGATTATATCCTAATTGTTTGAGACTTTCTAATTAAAGTATCAGAAACTTTAGCAACAAACCTAATCAATTTCAATCTAATAATCATCAAACAACAAAATCCAAATCTTCAAATCAACAACACTAAGACTTCCAAAACTACTAATAGTAAAATCAACTACAGAGTGAAAAATTGAAACGATTTAGGACCAAACAACGATAATTTTCGTTATCACACAATTGAATTGAAATCGATTCATGAGAAAGAGAGATGAGATTTAGGAAGCTTACGGGTTCTTCGGAAATGATACAGAGTTCGCCATCGGAGACACCTCTACGAGTGAATTCAAGAGCAGCATAACCAGCAGCAACACCTCCTCCGAGAATTACATACACGAAAGCTCTTCCCATGGTTCGTTCTTCTTCTTCTTCCTTTTACTTTCTCGAGAAAATCCTTAACATTTTTTTTTTAGTGAATGGATTTTTATTTTTTTATTTTCCCGAGAAAATTATGATTTTTTGAGGCACAGAAAATAGAAAATTCTGTTATCGGATCGTTTCCAGTTTTCCACCACCAGTGAATGATGATGATATTCGACGATTTTTATTTTGAATTTACGATTTTACCCTTATTTGACTTCGTAATAACGAACGGTGGAGATTAGAGTTGGATAAGGACTAGGCTAGATCTAGATCGTCCATTTCTGGACTTATTTGTGGGACCAGTTTAACTCTTTGCTTGCACGACTTGCTTGGCCCATCATCATTAGTTAGAATAAAATTACGAAACTTAATTGATCAAATTGAAAACTTTTTCGATTGAGGTGAAAATTGGTGGTTTTATTGATATCAAAACAATTTTTGATTTTAGAAAAAACTGGTAAATAAAATTAATATTTAATTGTAAACATTGAGTTTAAAAGTTTTTGTTTGTATTTTTTTTTAACCTTTTTCTAGTATTGTTACTTTCTTTAAAATTGTTGTTTTTTTCGTTTGATTAAAATTGTTGTTTATAAAGATTTCAATATTTTCGTCCACTTAGTTTTTAGAATTTTTTTTACTGATATATGTAGTTTTATTTTTATTTTTAATATTTTCGGATAAAAAATATGATCCAAGATACTTTACCTGCTTCAGTAGGTAAGTATTTTCAGTCAAATACTTTACAATAATTTGTGTTGAAATCTTCCAATCTTATGTTATATAATTAAGAGCTAAACAAAAAATATCTAAAACCCAGTTTTGTTTGTTATAATATTTGTAAATCTAAATGTTATGTTATTAGCTTTTTATACTGGAAAATGATATAATATTTATTGTGAAACTGAGTAATACTTAAGCGCATCAATTTTGAAACTTAGTAACTGATTTGCTAAGAGGTGGGAAACATAAATATATTGATGCATTAGAAAATTTCATTGCATGGTACAAAAACATCATGATCAGATAATAAGAAAATCGTAAATTAATAGAAAAATAGTTTTATGATTTAGAAAATCTGATTATTGAAATAGAAATATGTTTTAGGCCACCTAAAACGTATGACCGGCCTTGGTCACATGGATGTGTGAACTGAAGATCCCTAATCTTTAATATTGTTTATTTTATGTGTTAAGAGTTAAATTAATAAGAAAGTTATGTGGATGTAGCATTGTGTGCTAAGACTATCCTTATGTGTGTTCAATATTTTGTAAATTTTATTTCAAATTTAGTTATGTTATCAAAATTTTCGATCCAAATAAAACAGTTAAATTTTAGGATAAATTAAACTTTTTGTGATTTTACACTAAAAAAACCATGATAACAATGACTATATCATATAAAACGGTAAAAGAGAGAGTCAAAAGAGAAAAAAGATGGGCGAGGTGAATTGTTATTCATAAAAAACTTTTTCCTCTTCTCTCTCGCTCTCCCTGTTCGCCCTAGCCGTCAAGGCCATCTTCTTCCTCGTTTGGCCGGCGATTGGTGGCTTCCATAGCACTGTCGCCGGTCCCGTTCTCCGTAGTTTCAGCTTCTTCTCATTAGTTCATCTTTGTTGTTAGTTTTGCTTCTCAAACCCTAGTTTCGTCATCTCCTCCCCTTGGCCTTTCCTCCCTTCTATGGTGGTTCTGATGTGGTGACTATCATGGAGGATGGGTGGTGTATTGGTGATCTTCGTAGACGGATCTGTTCCCCGGTGGAACCGTCTCGTTTTCTCCGATCTGGTTATGGAGGTCTGTGTTTTCCGATCTGTTTCTAGTGTCTCAACATTCAACTCTATTCTCGTTGGTTGGGGAATCGGGAGTTGATTTGTTGCATGTTCCGGCTGGTTCCGAGGTGGTTCTGAAGAGTTCTAGTCTTGGATTTTGTTGGCTTTGCGGTGGTGCTGTCTCTAGTTAGGCGTGTATTTAGTCGGCGTATCGTTTCCATGGCTTGGTTATGATCATCCCTTCGGTGCTGCAGCAACGGCCTCTTTGTTTGCGGATTCTTCCTCTGTTTGTGAGTTTGAGTGACTTCTAGGGTTTGTATTTTGCTGTGTTTTTTGATTTGTTGTGATTTGAAGCCTTAGGTTCAGCTTTTGGGTTGGCTTGTTTGACTCCTTGCTCTGCCTCTCTCTCTGTCCTCCTCTTGGTTTTCGGTGTGGTGATTTGGCGATAGGTTCTGTTTTGTGGTTCTCCATTCGGATGCTAGCTTTCTTCAATGGCATCTACTAGCTCTCTGTTGGAACCTTGTTTGGCTTCTCGGCTGAGTTCTGGACGTTGTGGTGGGTCGATCCCTTGTCCTTCTCTTTGCGTGGCGTAACCAGTCTTTAGTCTGTAGGTGGCTTTGGCTGGGTCTACGAAGGTCCGTGTGTAAGGATGGGTGGTCCTATTTGGCGTTTCCCCTCTCGGATCTCAAGGTTTTCCTTGATCCTCCGCTTTCTCATTCTCATTGGCTCTATAGTGGTGGTGGTGGTTAGGTTCTGTGTTCTGATCTTCTTGCTTCGTCGTCTTCGTTTCTGCTGTGGAGATGGTTGTGTGAGCTCGATTTAGTTTCCTTCTCGAGGCTCCTGTCTGTTGCCTCTCCATGGCGCTAAAATGTTCTATGGAAGTGTTAGTCGACTGCTTGTAGAGATGAGTTATCAGTGTTGTGGCTTTGGAGGCTTTAGCTGTTATTTCTTTAGTTGTAATCTTTGTATCGTAAGGCTTGATATGTTTGTCTGCCTCTTTTGGCCTTATGTCTCTGGGGGTTTCTTTGTACCCGCCGGCTTTGTCTCCGAAAGGTTTTCGTTCTTTGTCGGCTTTGTATAACTTAAAATCGCATTCTATCAATGAAATCTTTTAGACGAAAAAAAAAAAAAAGAGAGTCAAAAGAGAACCCGGATGATAAAAAATCTATTATTTTTTTTCTGTATAATACTATGATTTCATTGGATCGGTTCCATTCTCTTTTTTTTTGGTGAGCGGATCGGTTCCATTCTCTAGTTAATTTGAAATTCTGTTCAACAAAAAATAAAGACTAATTTGTACATTTTTTTTTTTTTTCTAATTTGTACATGTTAAAAGAGATATGACGAATTATGATTTGTCAAGTGTCAAGACCATGACTTTAGCAAAACAAAAAAAAAAAAGTGTCAAGACCATGAGGTGATGGTTGGTCTTGGGAAGTGTGGTCGAGATGAGGATGATGTTTGGATGATATTAAAATCCAAAACGTTATAGATCGAATTATTTTATATTTTATCGATAGACAAAACTAAGCTTTTATCGTAGACGTGGTAAGTATGAGTTTAAACGCTCCATACATCTGCCAAGTGGCTTTTACAGGTAATAATCTTTTCTTTATTGTAACCTAAGATCATTAAATAATATAACTTTGTGTCTGAATAGTAGGACACATACGTGAAGTAAACAAAAACCACAAATGTTTTTCTTCTGGGCTTAAAATATAATTAATAAAAAAAAACCATCCGATCCTTTGTATTTTCAGTAATAAAAAATAGATGTATTTTTTATTAAACACGTTGATGCAATTTTTAGGCTTTGATTGAATTGTATGATATATGATAATAAGGTTCAGGAACAGAGAGGCAAAGAAACTCAAACGAAAAATACTGAATGGCCTAACTTTTGGGCTCTTTCCCAAGTACATATGGGCCTTCTCTTACACACAGGCCATATAGGCATGTTAAGACCGGAACCAAGTGATTGAGTGGAATTAAATCGGAATGGTAAAGCCGTAAAGGCATGCATGATAGTTTAATTGAATGAATATTGCATGAACCAAAAATTACATTAGCCTACTGAAATGGGTAACCATATTCTCTATAAAAGACTATTTGCTTATGTATCTTTGATTTCAAAGATAGTTACTGCACAAGATATCAATCCGAGAGGAATAGGAACTAGCTAGTATGAATGTTGTAGTTAAAAGGGCATTGTAAAACGTTGTTCTTGAACCTTTTAAATTAACAAAAGATCATTTACATTTAGTAGGTCTATATATGTTGCAAATTGTGACTAAATTTTCATAGAATCTAAGCATTATAAACGAGTAAGTAAATTATTAAACCCTAAGTATAATTGACTGAATATTTGGTCATCTCTTAGGGAAAAGTGTTGAGACAACTAAAAATAGTATTAACCAACTAAATTGGTTTTTAGTATAGATCATGATTTAATCATTAGTTACGAACGTCGCTAATTAGTAAGTCGATAATAACGAAAATATTCTTAGATAGATATTCGCCGACTTGACGACTTCAACTGTTCAACATTAACTGAATAAAGATTATGTCAAACTCATTGAGACGGGAGGAAAATGGTTTTTACTATATATAGAAAGTACAGCTAAGGCATGAGGCTATTGCCTATAACAATGCACAAGCAAATACATAAATAAAGAGAAGATAAAAAAGAAAAATCCAATTCTTTCACGTTTATTTACATTGTAAATTATAAACCACTTGTATGTTTGTGAGTTGTGACCGACCCGCCATGTGATTTTTCCTTTATTATTCACATGGGAAGTCGACAATTCCCACATGATAAAAACGTTGGCCTAATCAATTAAATAAACATGTGGCCCAATTCCATATCCATTTCGAATTCAAATTTATACTTGAGAATCTAAGATAAGCGTGATGCGAGTTTTCTAATTTTCTACATTATGTAGCATGCAATGTGAATATAATAAAGATACTATATAGATAACATGGTTGCTTTTTAAAAAAATAAAAAAAAATTGAAATATGAATTATTCCTATTCTAGCCAATGCATAGAGAAGAGTAAGTGGAGCTTGGATTTATCCTTTACACATGTATCATTCGGACAAAATTGTGTCGTTGCCTAAAGACTAAAGTTAAAAAGTTCGGTAAAGCTTTTAATGCTTTTGCCGTCTCGCTATAGTGCTTACACTTCCAAACCTAACATCATGTCTCAATTTCCAAATATTCTACCCAATTTATACAAATAATTAATATACGTTACACATTTCTACGAATTTATGTCATATAGTCAATTCGTACCATTGCGGCTCAATATATATGTACACGTTCCTACCTTATTGAACCTTATTTTTCATCCCATGTTTTAAGTATAAATATTTATGGTTTTGAAGAATATATGGATAGAAATATCAATGAAACAAAACCATTTTATAATTTTTTATTTATTTATCAAGACAAGTTGATATCTTTGTCTTGAAGGTTGTGGTTTTGATTCGTGGAGTTAGGCTTACGTCGGGTTCTACATGTTGAATGGCGATGCCCAAAAATGGATAAAAATTGTTGAATAAAGGCAACGTGAACTGTACCAAAATATTTCTATTTTTAGCATCTATGTGCTACGTGTCTTATTTTGATTGGTATAAGATTAGGTTCTGAATGTTTCATGATGAGTACGTCATGTGATATGTACACACATCGATCCACATGTATATGTATATACATGCCTAACTCATATGTGCAGGATATGTGTTTGCATATATATATGGATGAACATTGAAGGTGCTTCTCGATATCGTCATACGTCTAAAATTATTGCTCTGTTTTAAACCTTATTGTTTTGGCGTCTTGCTCTGATTTAACATTCCACAAAAAAATTGTATACAAATTATATGAATGTGTTTAACTATAAATTCATTTTTAATTATATCAATTGGTTAACGGATAATTGTTGTACTGGTCGAGTATGACAGGAGATACGCGGATAAAGGTTTTTGTTTAAGATCCATCGCATACATTTTTGAATAAGTTAAAAGAAAAATGCATATTACGAGATTGGTGTAATCATTTGCACTGAATTCAGAGTCACATAAACTTGGATTACAAATATAATTGTTACCTTTTTATAGAAATTAATAGTAATTCATAAAATGATCATGTTATAATATAGACTTATTTGTTACTTTATGAAAATTGATGTGTTTGTTAATTTTTATGTATAACTGATATTACCAAACCCATTTTTTTTTTTTGGTAAAGATTACCAAACCCACTTTTTGTATAAATTTTAATTAATGTTTTGTTGTAATTAAAAATATTTAATATTATAAAATTGTAAAAGTATACTATGAGGATAGACTAGACATATTGTATATTTTATAATATATGTGAAAACCTATTGCGGAGAGAGTAAATAACAAGTATTATATCTACATACATTGAATTAATCATAGTCAAAAACGAAATGATGTTACTTGACATTCCATCAAAAAAAAAAAAGAGCCTAATTGATGTTCTCATATGTACATGGTATAACGAACATTCGTATGCCAAATTATTTTAATAAAAACAAAGATATCCGAAAAATATATGACCCCTTCAACAATTTTATTTATGTATAACAAGGGTTCAATAAAGATCCAAATTATATATGTATCAAGGATTCAGATAAGTAACATTATATATTAATTATATCCCCAAACCTCTACAACGAGGCAAAAACATATACATGTCACGTACTAGTAATAGTACTCCTAAAAATCATATATAATACTCAATTAATCTTCCATGTTTTGTCGACCGATCGATCAATTACCATTCAGTAAATGCATTGATGACCAAATATCATCCATGCCCCAATAGTTTTCACCGGTTTGATCATCAACGGTCATCGGTATTGGATAATCCACGGTTGCCGTTGCTGCCGCGGCTGAATAGTTACCGTAGTTGAATTCCATATTGGTATGTTGATACGACGTTGGTGTAGGAGAATAAGTCTCCATCGCTTGATCTTGTGTACAAAAGACATTATGGCTCGACGTGCTTGCAGCTTGATCGTTGATCTCTGAGCTATGATGAGATCCAACGGACGATGTTGTTGTTACATCCGCTTGCTTGATGTATTTTTGAATTCTTGTCCTCCAGAAATTTTTGATCTCGTTGTCGGTTCTTCCTGGAAGATGTTTAGCAATTTTTGACCACCTAATCATACATTAAGAGGTAATTGCATTAGTGATATAGTTATTATGATGAGCTAATGATTGTTGTGGGGGCAAGAGATTTAATATGTGAATGCATAGGACCAAAGTTAGTACGTCTAGATGAAGCCAAAACATTAAGGTTTACGTCTATTTCAGTTGTGTCTGTCATGAGGCTTTTTGGTTTTGTACTATTATTACATGTACAATGTTTGGATCTTTTTCACTTTCTTATTTTTTTTTTTTTTTTTTTTTTTTTTTTGCTGATAAGCCTTATATATTTTAGAATTTATTTGTTGTCAAATTTTAAAAGCTTTACTTTTTTTTTTTTTTGCTAAAAGCGTTAATAAATGGTACTTCTAAGATTAACAGAAAAAACTAGATGTCAATTAAATTGTAGAGATTAGAAAAATGAAACTAGCTTAAAAGCAACCCAAAAAGAGTAATAAAGAAAATAACTGAAAAGTTGAATAAAAGAATTATGAAAACACGTATAAAATGAATATCATTTGGCTCTTCCCGTGATAAAATTTTGACCTTAAACCTAATTAGAATCAAATCCATAATTAGTTAATTACATATATTCGCATTTACTTAAAAACACAATATACCATCTAATTTGTTGAATTAGAGAATCATGTACCTTGTACTTTTGGCCATATTTTCCAGCTCTATACATATAAAACAAATAAAAATAGAAATCGAATAAAATACACAGACAAAGAAATATAAAGCCGCGAATGTATATCTTCCAGAAACGTGGGAAATCACTTGAATAAATTTACTTCATAAAATGAAAAAAATTGGGGAGAAAATCTAGCCATGACGCATGAGTATGAAGGAGAAATAGGCACGAGTTTAAAATGTTATTTTGATAAAACCCACGAGGTTCAATGTTAGTGGCTAAGAAATTTCGACACGTGCAAAAAACTCTTAGCTACGTCTAAGAACAAACTTCTTCGATCAAGCTTATCACAAAGGAAACAAACACTTTTTGCTTTAGTCACCAAATGTCTTGCTTTCTTGTCTTTTCAAAGATTTACGTGGCATATAGGCAGCTTCAAGAGTATATAAACGATTCAAAGTTGGAAGAATTTGCCTTTGTTTGTCCTTTTCTCTCGTTACACATAGTGTATATGTACGTATATATAATTGTTTATATATATTCTACATCAAGTAAATTAAAACCAACCTGTTTCCCCACTTAGCATGAAGTTCCATGATGATAAGTTGCTCCTCTGGCGTGATGTTTCCCCGTCGTACGTCGGGGCGGAGATAGTTCAGCCACCGGAGCCGGCAACTTTTTCCGGTGCGTTTTAGACCTATACATTCATATTACCAATCAATCAATATGATTCGTATATCGTACTACGTGCATATATTCACATAATTATAATTAAGTAGTAGCACATATGACATATGAATATAAATACGTGTATCATTTATTGTTGATGTTTTCTTAAAAAGTTATTTTACATCATTTTACTCTACCACTAGGCCATCATAAAGCATCATCCAACACATGAAAACGTTTTTAGATGTAGACTGATTCTTTAACAAAGAACGAATATAATAGAGCATATATACGTTTAAATGAAAAGTTACTGTGTATATAGATCTATATATGAAAGAAATGAACGTAAGAAAAAGTATTTTTTGTCGTATAAGATATACGTACTTTTGCATGTTATGAAGAAACCCTAGTTCATACAAATATATGTGTGTATATATCATAATTGATTAGTGAATAAATCATAATTGAATTTGATTTTAAGAAGAAATTAAACGAACCTGCAGATTTGGCGAGAGAATTCCAAACACCATCGCCGTGGTTGGCGATATAGTTGATAAGAATAAGATCTTCTTCCATCGTCCATGGTCCTTTTCTCACTTCTGCTTCTGCTGATGATCCCGAACCTCCACTACTCCCTCCTCCTCTTTTCTCCATTTTCTTATCTTTTTATTTAAGTTATTTTATACGATCGAATTTTATATATTTTATTGATAGAGAGAGGAATATAAAAAAAGGAGTAAGAGAATAAGAGAGAAAGATGTGGGTGAGTTGATACTGAAGATTGTGGAAGGTGAGCTACTGCTTTTATAGAGGCTAAATTCACCGCGTGATTAGTAACCCTTAATTAATCCAAAGTCTTAATTAATTATGTATTACCTTAATCTTATAGTGTTAATTAATCATACAATTAATTTCCTTATTAGGGTTTATTTTCATCCTAAACACTATGCTGCATGGGGACTATGTATATACATGTCTTCAAACCTAACCATCTATAACAACATGCTTTCATTATTTATTATTTATTTTGTTTTGTTAAAGGGTTTTAATAACATGGTTTCATGCATACATACATATAAATACTGAAGACTCTTTGATGCATTCATGCATGGATGATGCAAGAATACATGCATGCATTCCCATATAGTTTCACATACGTACGCGTGCTTGTTGGTTTGTATGTATTATTCTCGCACTCATGTGTTACCATTTAACTATGGATGATGGAAGTTATGTATCAAGATTGTTAGTATACATATATATATATATATATATATATATATATATATATATATATATATATATATATATATATATATTCCTCCTTCTATATATAATATATCTTTTCTATATAAGATAATTAAATTAGCGGCTCTTTTTGTTTGTTTTGTATCTAAATTTGCATAAACTTTCAAAGCTGTACAGAGGAGGCCTTCTTGGGCTTTTTTTACCATGAGATGATCAGATATTTCTTTCACAAACAAAAAGACAAAAGAAGATGGAGTAATTATTGTCCTCTATAAATTGAAATCAAGATATCAAATTTGTTAGAATGAAGTGAGGTGATCACCATCATCCTGTTAGTTTAGATTAGCAGTCGATTTATTAAACGCTATTTTTTTATATGTGTGTACTCACAAATTTACATAGTACACATATAACATATTTAATGTTTCAATTTATAATCCAACATGACATTACCAGTGTTGTGTTCTAAAAAGCGGTCTAGACGGTTGCCTAGGCCCCGACTAGGCGCTAGGCTCTCATAAAACGCCTAGATAACTGTCCTGATCGCCTAAAATTACATAGCTCTTGTTTAATGTACTTTTTCAATTTCTAATTAAGTTTTATCTATATATATAGTTATAAATATTCATATATTATTTTTTTATAAATACAAATAAATGTTTAATCCAATTTTTGTTTATGATTTCATATTTTTCGTGTTTTTATAGATATTTTATATATAATATCATGTTTATAATGTTTTATATTATAAACGTTTAAACCATCTAAAAATCGTCTAGGCCCCGATTAGACGTTCTAGGCGCTAGACACTGGATCACCGCCTGTTTAGCATTAGCGCCTAGCGCTTTCTTGAACATTCATATTAATAACTAACTAAATGATTTAGTGATTTCACTATTGAATCGAACGTGGGACATCGTTTCGCAATTCACACTTAATCTGTAACATACAATTCACATAATTAACTATTGTAAGTCTCCATATTAGTCTTGATTTTAACTAAAAAAAATTCAAATTAAGTTTTTAATACACATTGAATTTAAGTTTAGATCCTAAGACTATATAAACAGACTGCTTCCCGTTCCACTTTTTTCCTTTTACATTTCAATCGATCTTCTGTGGTCACCACGCACAAGCCTCAACGTTCTAAGTTTTCGACATGAGACTCCTTGTCGTTTCTCTAGTCAACATCATAGTTGACCATAAAAAGATTTGATAGTATAACTCGGTAATTTAATTGGTAGAATAAATTCGCTATGTACTTCAACAACTCAATGATCTTTATATGCTTTTGTAGTAGGGCATGTCTCATAAAGAAATCGATAAAAGTACATTAGTTTACTACTTTATACTAATAAATAATGACGCCAAATTAACTTAATTAATTGTAAGTAACTGAACTTATTATACTCTATTAGTAAACAAATTAAGAACATGACAAATAAAGTACAAATTAAGATGGAGACTTGACGATCTTGACACTCTAAAAGTTAACTCACTCTAATCCCCAACCAAATTCAAAATCCACTTATCTTAAAGTGAAAAGTGACTAATTCCTAACAAAAAACACATCCAAATTAATCAAATGTATGGTCCTTCACACTTCAAGTAGCAAATACTTGCTTTTGTTGCCACATCCCATCTCTTTTCATTTTTATGCGATAACATGCGTTTATCTAGATTAAAAACAAAAGTCGTGATTAGATGGACTTTGACGTGAGCAATATACATCTGCCAACATTATAATTATTTATTTTTCGATTAATTCAAATGCAGTTAAAAAAAATAGGTTTAGAGTTATATATATTTTTTCACTAGAATTTGATTGTTATTGACAAAATACAATTTGAACATTGAGCCCGGGAAGGCGGGAATACATGAAGCCTCCAAAAACATTTGCCAGCGAGTATAAGAAAACATATGTCGGTTTTGAGTTATAAAATTAAAACATGTAAAATCTTTTATTAAATAATTTTGTAGAGTACAAACGCAAAATCAATATTTTTTTGTTGGTTTTTGACTTTTTTTTTTTTTTTTTTTTGTCGTCTTTAATAAAAATGCAAAAGCAGAGTTGACAAAAGCAGAGCAAAATTAAAACAGGGGAAAGCAACAAAGAAAACAGGGGAAGACGTAATAGAACAGACTCATCTTCGACCTCGCCGTTCACTTTCAATCCGATTATGTAGCCAAGCCGGACCACCGCGTGCTAAAGACGATGTGAATCGTCCTTCTCGAGTAACACTACAAGCAATATCCTTGGCCAAAGAGTTGGCTTTCGGTGAAGAGAGGTGAAAACTAACCTCCCGCATCACCCGTATTACTTGTTGAATTTTGATGATCTGAGAACGATATTTAGGATACTCTTCCAGATTAGTTAACGCATCAATAGCCGCACGACTGTCCGACCATACTTCACAAGAAACTATCCGCAGCTCCTTTAAACTCCGAAGACACCAAAGTATAACTTGAAGTTCCGCAGCTAATCGATTCACCATTGGGAGAAAAGCATCCCGAGCGTGAAAGACTGCATCACCCTCATGATTTCGTAGGATCCAAGCTCCTCCTATGTGGAATGAACTTGGTTTTTAACTTCATATGCTTAGTTTGTTAGTTCATTTGAAAAGAACAAAATAAACGCTTGGGTACGAGTCGAATATGGGTACACACCCAAGGGCCAGGTCCATGGTACCGGACCCGTATATCTAAATTGGTGCATTTTTATTTTTATTTTTATAAATACTGATTTAATCTTTGAGGAGGTGAATGATCTATCGGCCTAATGACACCATTACATTTTCATATTTGCGAAAAAAATGATATATTTTAATTTTTAAAACAAGGACTATGAGTGATTGAAAACCTACTCGTTAAAGCATAGTTAAATATTTTCCATATTTGAAAGGGCACATAATTTGGCGAATCATACAAAAGTTTAAGTACACTTAAGCCATTTTTAAGAAACCCCATTATTTGTGGCTGCCATTTTATTAAGTGGAAACGACTCTTTTCTTAATTACTTCCCTCTTTAGCGCGTTATATGCACTTCCCTACTGGCTAATGTCAACTCTCAAGTCAAGACTCAAGACTACATTTTTATTTTATTGTTACAAAATATCCATATTAAAACTTTCGAATTAACAAATTTACTTCAAGCTTTATGTACACCAAGTAGAAAATTGTAAATTTGTTTTTAATAAGTGAATAAGTTTTTCAAATCACAATTACCAACAAATTAGAACATCTTCTGTTAATTGTTTTAAAAGATAGTAAATCTAAAATTTCCAAAATTCAGATTCAACTATGTGAGAAATCTAGTATAATAACTCTATCAAAATGTTCTCTATTATCCAAACTTGAACTCGTGTTTTTAAAGACTCACTTCAATGATCTGCCTGAAGCTTCGATGAAACTTGAATACCTAGTGTTAAATAATAATAAAATATGAATAATGGCTTCAATTTTGTAATGGAAAAGAAATTGTAATTGTTTTTCGTACACACTAACTAAGGAAGAAGTCGGTAGTAGAATACGCGTAAAGAAGCGCGTGGAGAAGAGGAATCTTGAAAGAAACATAAACTAGAAACGTGGACTCTTCACACCTTCACAATAAGCAAATGTCTAAAAAGGGCAAAAGTGTCTTGCTTTTATGTTATGTAATGTAATGGAAGCCTGTAAGTGGAAAAAAACAAAGCTTATGGAGTTTAATGGCAATGTCAAGTGGCTTAAGCTTCATTTATATGAGTGGCTATAAGAGTGACAAGCCAAGGATTATCAATTAGATGTGTGTGGGGACCTTGAGAGAAGAAACAACACATGCATGTGAGTATGTGATCCCAACAACTAATTACGTGTGTAATTATGGAAAAAACACAACTAATTAAGAGTTCTAAAATATTTTATCCGAAGTTTAAAAGTACTTTTTTTTTACGACTTGAGCTTTAAGGATCCTGTTAAAAAACTCAAAGCCTTTACAACTACTTATATTATTAAAAAACTATACATATATATATATATATATTTTTTTTTCATGTTTTTTTTTAATTTTCTAAAGCTAATTTTTTAAAATTTTTGATTTGTAACGGCTGTAAATTGTAGAAACTTGTTTGTTTTTAATATAGAAATTAGTATTCTTATTTTTTTGTCGGCCAAATTTTGTATTGATAACAAGTCCAATGGGCTATACAAGTGGTGAAAACTGAAGCCCAAACTCCATCGTTTACAACCTTAATTAACAATAAATCTGTTTAATCAAACCTAAATTGATAAGATTAAGAAAAGAAGGTGCCGCGTGTGCAACACGTGTTGAGACGCGAGAAGGAGAGAGAGACACGGTTGGTGCCGCCCGAAATCCACGACCCGGTGCAGCCTCCGCCATTGGCTTCAAGAATCCACCACCGAAACTCCTTCTACAAAGTTCACCGTTGCAAAACCGATTGACTTCCACCGCTTTTGTCTTGAAAAAAAACGCAAGAAGATATCTTCAAATCTTTATCATCTTAACCCATATTCCTAGCAGAAGCTCCGCCTAAGA